TTTCCGTCCATTTTAAATGAGCTTTGGTCCAGAGATGATGTTTTGATGATATTATGTACTGTAGATGGTGGGATATCCAAAGTCATCCTCTCTAAAGTGCTCTTTTTACACCCAGTCATGTGAGTTAGTTGCAAATTGCTCCTCCAGCTGTTTTTTATTACTTTTTCATGAAATGTTAAAATGTCTGACTTTCAATGTCTGATATGAGTTCTATGTTCTATTGTGAATAAAATATGGGTCTATGAAATTTACAATCATTGCATTGTGTTTTTATTTACATTTTACAGAGTGTTTTGGAATTGGGGTTGTGCTGCATTCAGTGAAATGTGTTTGTATCTATTTTCAGGACTGAGCACTGCAGGCAGAAGATGCTTCATACTGACTGTAGTGTGTCTGGGGCTGCTGTGTGTTCTCCTGCTGGCTGCCATCACAGTCCTGTGGGTCAAGTTCACTGCAGAGAGAGACCAGTTACAGACCTGTTACACCAACCTGACTACAGAGAGAGACCAGTTACAGACCAGTAACACCAACCTGACTATAGAGAGAGACCAGTTACAGACCAGTTACAACAAACTCTCTGAAGAGAAAAATCACTTGGAGTTAAGTTACATCAGTGTAATGAATGAAAGGGATGATCTTAAGAAGAAACTCTCTTCTGCAGGTAAGCAGACACATTTAAAGCTGAATAGATCAGGTAAGCGGCACGGTGGCACAGTGGGTAGCGCTGTCGCCTCACAGCAAGAATGGCCTGGGTTTGATTCCCGGCCGGGTGACCAGGGTCATTTCTGTGTGGAGTTTGCCTGTTCTTCCCGTGTCTGTGTGGGTTTCCTCCGGGTACTCCGGTTTCCTCCCACGGTCCAAAAACATGCAGTTAGGCTAATTGGACGTGCTAAAATTGCCCCTAGGTGTGAATGTGTGTGTAATTGTATATGTCTGTCTGTCTGTCTGCCCTGCGATGGACTGGCGACCTGTCCAGGGTGTTATCCTGCCTTCCGCCCAATGACAGCTGGGATAGGCTCCAGCACCCCACCGCGACCCAGAAGGATAAGCGGTTTAGATGATGGATGGATGGATGGATAGATCAGGTAAAGAATATGGATTAGTTAAATCACACCACAGTGGTGTTTCAGCTTCAGAATGAGTGTCTTAGGAACTTTTCTGTTTCTCCTTACATTTTCTTATTTAGACTTTCTAAGACCTGATAGACCCACCATGAGGTTTTTCTTTTTTCTCTCACCAATCAGTTCCTGAACTCCTGAACACTTTAATGATTTTTTTTTTATTAAAACATACAATTAAATTTATAATGATGTGAAATAAAACTACCCACAACTACACTAATTTGTCTTCATGCAAGGACCAGTACTACCCAAACCACTGCAGTTGCTTATGTTTTCACAGAATGCTTTCCCTACTAGCATTGTTGAAGTTTGTACATGCGAGTGGAGAGACTTCTGTATGTGAGGGTGGTGGGGGTGTTGAAATTTGTATGTGCAAGTGGGGGGGTGTGGGTTGTGGTGAAGTTTACACATGCGACATGGTTGGGGGGACCACACTTTCATATGTGGTCAATTACTTCTAGCTAAGATAAACTGCTGAGAGACGTGCAAATGTGTGAGCACAGGGGTGAATAGTTGTTCCATCGGCAGCAAAACGACTCCTCTTAAAGGCACAAATACCCACCCCACATTGAGGTGGAAGCCATTGACGTGGCAGAAATGTTTAAGTGGCATCTGGGGTGGCCAGTAAGATTTCAGGAAAGGCCCTGGTCACTCCAGCCACCCCTTTAGAATCTTGTATGCTTTTGGATCCTTTCACTTTCATTTGAATCACCCTCTTCACCACATGGCTCCCCCACCTGGCTCAGACTCTCTGTACCAAGTTCTCTTCTTAGGTTATTACAGTTCTTATGTAACTCCTTCTGGCAGCACCTTCTGCAGCTCAGGAACATTTTGTTCGTTGTCTAACCTTTAACCATGTACAGGTGGCAGAGGCTACGTTCACATTACCAGTGTGAAGTGGCACAAATCCAATTTTTTGCCCTAATGTGACTCAGATCTGATGTTTTCAGGGCTGTGTGGACACGCAAATCTGATCTTTTCAAAAGCAACCTGAGTCACTTTTACATGTGGTCCTAGATTGGATACGTATCCGATGTGTGGCCATGCGACCTTAATATGAACGTTCAGATCGGAATTCATGCACTTTTTTCAGACTGCGCGTGCGCCATCATTCAGCGTTACCATGGCAGCAGCGCCGAACAGAAGCTAAAGCCTGTAAATGGTGGAAAAGAGACACATCTCACCCTTTCCGCAAAAGGTTAGGCTAGTGGCGTTGTGGAAGTTCATTCACTGCAAATAAAGACACAGGCCAAACCACAGTAGTTCAAACTAAGGTGGTTCTAACTAACCTGGCTCAGACTGCTGTGGTCCAACCGAACTACGACGGTTTTGGGAAATTTTCGTTTGTTGGTTGGATGTTGGTTAGTTCTACAATACTACACTGGTTTAGCAGTGACCTCCATCAGGAAACACACCCTGTTACAGTTACAGAAAAAAAGACAGTAATCAGACTAGTTACATCAAAAATATATACATTTAAAAAAAATGCTGAATTCATGTCAGAACAGAATACAGTCTGCTCTGAAATGAAATCAGGGCTTCATCGCTTTAAACCGTTCAGTGCTTCAAACATGTATGCATGAAATGCAGGCATTACAGTGAAAAGTTAAGTGCGATGCACACAAGACAGTGTTTTAAAACAACATAAACAGTACATGCAGGTTTGCATTTAAAGGAATGAAAGGCTGAATTGGTGTCACAGTGTCAGGAAGCTGAATCTGAATGTGTTCTTGTAGCTGAACTATTTTCTGGCCCTGATTTCTACAGTTTATAAATGTGTATGTATTGACACAGCATTAGTAGATATGTGCATTAAAAATATCAGACCGTCATCGTCCTCAATTCCCTTACCAGTGTATCCCATAATGAAGAAAAATACCAGTACAGTAATTCCTCTTTAATGTGAGGAATAATTATCAAGGATTCAATAATCTGACTGACTGGTGTGAAAGAAGAAAATAACTGTGGTATTAAAGTGTAGAATGAATCTCTGTGTTTGTGTTCAATTCATAGAGAAGACAAAGCAGCAGGACTGGACATTTTTCAAGACCAGTCTTTACTACATCTCTACTGAGAGGAAGAGCTGGAGTGAGAGCAGACAGGACTGCAGAGAGAGAGGAGCAGACCTGCTGATCATAAACAGCAGAGAAGAACAGGTGAGAGAGAGAGAGAGAGAGATTGTTTATGTCAGACCATACCAGCACAAATATGTGTGCAGTAAGTTACTTTTCCTCTCTGTTTCTGAGAATGTTCATCTGATTCTTAACAGAACTTCACTGAAATACTGAGACGAGGACAGACAGCTTGGATTGGTCTGACTGACAGAGGGGGTCTGGAAATGGGTGGACGGCTCAGCACTGACCACTAAGTAAGAGATCACTGAACTGAACTCTGGTGATGGGGCAGTTAATGACTGTCACTCCTCACCGCTCTGATAAACACAGTGGATTCTCTGATTCTCTCTTTCAGGTTCTGGGCAAGTGGAGAACCCAACAGTCATTTAGGAGATGAGGACTGTGTTGTAACTGCAATGAAATGGGCTGATTTTCCCTGTAATCACAGGTTTGTTTGGATTTGTGAGAAAAGTATGTTTAACTAACAGTGTTTTAGAATGAATTTCAGTGAATATCAGGAATATCAGCAGTTTGTTTGGATCTGTAAGGGAACATTTAGCTAAACTTCTAATACTGAACTTTGGAAGTGTGGAAAATATCCCTGCAGATTTCAAGCAAGCAAGCAAGCACAGAGGTTCTGCTTCTTGGTCCAAAACCTGCTAGAAACAAACTGTCTAATTTTACACTTAAACTTAACAATTTCTCAGTTGCATCAACTCCATCTGTATAAAATCTTGGTGTCATTATAGATCCTGATCTGTCCTTCGACGCACATATAACTAATATTACCAGAACAGCCTTCCTGCATCTCTGCAATATTGCTAAATGAAGAAATGCATCTCTACAGGATGCAGAAAAGCTAGTTCATGCATTTATTACTTCAAGGCTAGATTACTGTAATGCCCTGCTGTCTGGATGTCCCAGCAAAAGCCTTAACAAGCTTCAGTTAGTCCAGAACACTACAGCCAGAGTCCTTACTAGAACCAGAAAGTTGACCATATCAGCCCAGTTTTATCAACCCTACACTGGTTACCAGTTAAATTTCGCATCGATTCTAAAATTCTCTTACTGACCTATAGAGCTCTAAATGGACTCGCCCCTCAGTACCTGAGTGAACTTCTCTCCCACTATGAACCGTCACGCCTACTTAGATCACAAGGTGCTGGTTTACTATTAGTACCTATAATTAATAAAGGTACATCGGGGGGAGAGAAGACTCATACAAAGCCCCCCAGCTTTGGAATAATCTTTCTGTTAATGTTCGGAACTCAGACACAGCCTCAGTCTTTAAGTCTAGGCTAAAAACTCACTTGTATAGTCAAGCCTTTGGTAATGAGTTTTCCCTGTCAGATCCAGACCTGACAGAGTCTCTGCTGCTCTGTTAACACTGTAATCTGTGATCAGTCACTCTTTACAGAACTAACTCTGTGTTTTCCGTTCTTTGCTGAGTTGAACAGCTGCCCATCCTGTGCGTCTGATGCTGTTGCTTCTTCTGCCTTGATCGGGGGCCACTGCTCGCCAGCCTTCTTGATCGGCTTGACCACCATTGAGCTTCATGCTGTAGCGTTGTACAATCCTCACCCTCATGAACTGACCCTCCTGATGATGCTGCTGCTGCATAAACTGAAACTAATCTAATCAACCATTGCTCCACCTGTTTTCTCCGCTTTTTACTAAAACTTTATACTAACAATGTTTGCTATCCGGTGCTGACCAGAGGACGATGGGTTCCCCTTTCTGAGTCTTGGTTCCTCTCAAGGTTCCCTCCTCCTGCTCTTAGGGAGTTTTTCCTTGCCACTGTCGGGACTGGCGACGCTCATGGGGGCTTGGACCCAGATTTTTTTCTGTAATGCTGATTTTTTCTGTAAAGCTGCTTTGTGAGAACACCTGTTGTAAAAAGCGCTGTATAAATAAACTTTGCTTGCTGCAGATTTCTTTGAAAAACTGAAAGCAAGTCTCCAGTAAAGAACGGAAGCCGTGAAATGTGGCCACATTATATGCTGAAAAGACTGATATTATATGAAGTTGTCGAGGCTTCTGTGTAATTTTCTGTTTAATGTATAATTTCTGACTGTTTGTAGTGAGACATGTAATCAGACGTCAGATGTGAGTTCACAAGGTTTGATTGCCCCCTGGAGGATGAATGAAGTCAGTGCAGGATCTGTTTATAATATGTAGTTGATTGTCTTTTAAGTATTCGTCTCATACATCTGATTTTTTTGTAAATGTTATTGTTTTTATTATGTTTACTTTTATTATGTTTATTAGTTTCATTTGAAATGTTAAACTTGTCGCTGTGTAAGAATTTAATTGTCTGCTACATTTAATAGAGATGACAGATTATCTAATAGAAATAGCAATAAATTATGATTCTGTGTTTTTGGTGACATTTGTTGTGATGTTTTATTTTAAAAATGTATTGATGTTTTATGTTATTACTGTAAATATTCTACTGGTCCTGACTGGAGATCAGATATCAGTTCCAGGTTGTACAGTTCTAATGTATCAGTCAGTGAGCAATAACAGTACAAAATACACAAGTATGATCGGCTCATAATTTATAAAGTACCTTGATTTCTCATTTTAAACAGGCTGAATTTGGGTGTCGCATCATAATTATCCACAAGAGGGCAACAAACACCATCTCAAAGCAGATTCAACAATAATCAGTTATACACATTTTTCTGTATAATATACCAGCAACAGGTTTAACTGACAATCAAATATTACTGTTTCTCCCAGAAGTGATTCCAAAATGAACATGTTTCTGTGAACATGAATGACATTTATTTATTTGCATTTTCTGCTTTGGTACATAACAAAACTTGTCTCAAAACCATCATGAAACAATGTCTCAGACATCAGCCACTGTGCTCTATAACCATTTCATGAAATTACTTTATATAAGGAAGCTTTTAGCTTTTAGACTGTCTTTAACCTCTTAATTCTGCAGGAATTTTAAAGAATGTCTCTTTTAATAGCTAAAACGCTAAAGAGCTGCACTCAGACTACATTCAGTAATGACACATTTAAGTGTAAAACAAAACTGCTGAAGATGGAGGACGAAGATTTCACTTCAGCATTTTTAGTTCTATTTTGATTCCTCTCTAAAATAAGAGTATATTTCCATGCCTACACATTTACTGAGGAACTCACACATCACACGTCAGATCCCAGAGTAGTATGTTTAACATACACTATATGGCAAAAAGTTTGTGGATTTATTTCAGGTGTTTCAGCCACATCCATTGCTAACAGGTGGATATAATTAAGCACATAGTCTTGCAGTCTTGATAGACAAACACTGGCAGTAGAACAGGTCATACAGATGAGCTCAGTGACTTTAAACATGGCTCTGTCATTGGATGCCACCTCTGCCACAAGGCAGTTTGTGAAATTTCTGTCCTGCTAGATCTGCCCCAGTCAACTGTAAGTGCTGCTATTGTGAAATGGAAGCGTCTAGGAGCAACAACAGCTCAGCCCCTAAGCGGTAAACCATGCGAACGTGCAAAATGGGTCCGCCGAGCACTGAAGCACTCAGTGCTTTCCCTCTGTTGAATCACTCACTAATGAGTTCAAAACTCTGGAAGCAACATCAGCAAAACAACTGCACATTAGGAGCTTCGCAAAATGGGTTTCCATGGCCGAGCAGCTGCACACAAGCCTAAGATCAAAATGCACGATGCCAAGTGTCAGATGGAGTGGTGTAAAGCACGTCACCACTGGACTCTGAAGCAGTGGAAATGTGTGCTCTGGAGTAATGAATCAAGCTTCACTATCTGGCAGTCTGATCTGGGTTTGGTTGATCCTTGGAAATCATTACCTAATAGAATACATAGTAACAACAGTAAAGTTTGGTGGGGGTGGGATAACGGTCTAGGGCTGATTTTCAGGATTTGGGCCTCTTAGTTTCAGTGAAGGGTAATTTTAATGCTACACCATACAAAGGCTTTTGGTCTTGGCCATTGAAAAACAGAGTGAAAGAGGGTGAAAGAAGGATAACAAAGTATGCAGAAGAACAGATGGACTACAGTCTGTGATTGTAGAACTACAAAGTGCACCTAGATGGTAAGTGGAACTTATAAAACGGACAATGAGAGTAGATACAAATGCAAACTCCTTGCACTTCAAGGGTGATAGCCGTTTAAACTGGTCAGCAAGTCTCCTAATGTGGTCAAGTTCACACTATTAGCTTATTATCAAAAATCTGATAAGCCTTTAATAGTCTGGTCACTTCTCCTTAATGAAATTTCTCAATGTGTCTTTTTAGTGTCATTCTGTCTATCATTTCCTCCTTCAGCAGACTGAATAGAATCTGACACTTGTTTGGCTGCTTTTCTTAGTTCTGCAATATAAAAGCAGTACAACATGCATAAATGTATTTTACTTAATCATATTTGAGTGAATATAATTATTATATTCACTTAAATATATACATATTTTATTTGAATTCAGGTAAGCTGAGGCTCAAGGTTATTTGCACATTTTAACCCAAAACCCCCATTTTGAGGAAACTGCTAATATTTCTAGACATCATTACTTGTATTAAGTGTTTTTTAGTGAGTTAACATAGTTTAACTTAAAGTTCTCACCTTACGTGTGAGGGGAATTTTCTCATTTTTCTTTTTTATCTTTAGTATAAAGATATCTAACACAATCTCTCGCCAATAGAGAAGCTACACGCAGCAGAGATACATCCTGTCTGCAGTGTCAGTCAATCTGCTTCATGTTTATGATTCTGTAAGGTTAAAGTGCTGCAGTGTTTCCAGTGTATTATAGTCATTTATATGGAAATGGACATTCAGAATGAACCTCTTCAGTACCAGAACATGGAAAAAGAGGACAAAACCTCTCAGTCATTTGGAGAGAGTCAACACAGAGGTAAGTACTTATAAACTGACCCACATGTCCACACACAAAGAGCCATTTCAGAAGAGAATGGACACTTTCATTCACCTCACTAGTCTGTTAAAGGTGTATTTGTGTGTGTTTGATGTTTAGGAGTGTTCAGGCTGGCTGTACTGTGTCTCGGTGTGATGTGTATCCTTCAGGCAGCTCTCAATATTGCTCTGAGACTGTACTGTAAGTTCAGCGTTTATACCTTAAAACACTTTATGAACTGGAACACACTGATATATTCTTGTTTTTATCCATGTACAGCGGCAGTCAAAAATATTTGCTCAGAAAACTCATCAGCTCCCAGTTTGTTAGATACTCCTGCTTTGTACCTATGAGGTCAACCAAACTTAAACGTCCGTTAGATGTACAGTACTGTGGAAGAGTCAGATGACTCCCACAAACCCTCCCACCATAATCCTTTCATTATTTTCATTTTCAGTTAAAATGCCATTAAGTATAAGTACACAGTCTTTGACTTTTCCCTTCCTTGAGTAAGTTTCTTATACTTTTGCATGCAAAAATTTGAACACCCTCATCTGAACATTATATGTTTTCCTCATTTGATTTTCTAAGCGAAAACAAGTTTACACATATCAGTGTCTAGGGCCGGACTGGGGTAGGAGTTTGAAATGGGTGTTTATATCTATGTTCACAAAAAGTGGCTAACATTTGGGAAAGAGGGATTTTGTTGTGGGTGATACTTAAAAAATAAGTTGAAATCTTTGGGCTGAGCAAAGTAATCAAATGTTTTTTTTCTGCTCTTTCCCTGTCTGGTTCCCCTGTGTTCTGATCTGTGGTCTGTCGTGACGCTCCTTGTGCTGCACAATGAACATGTAAAATATATTTCATGTTAAGAGCTGAAATAACTACTTTTAACAATGTTCCCATAAGTACACTGGGTAACCTAATGTAAGCTGTACCTGGAGCTCTCCCTGAACTTGAAGGTGTCTCATGCTCTCTTTCTGGCTGTGTTTCTCCATCTTTGCAAAATCAAAATGAAAACACAAAGTTAATTATGAATCTACACGCATATATTTGTTCTGAAGTATCTAGCACCATATAGCATCACCAAACAATGTCTGCAATGCATACTATGTGGCTCAAGCTTTACATTGTGCTAGGATAGAAAATACTGTATGCTTTATTGAAAAAAAGCCTCTAAATCAGATCCACACTTGTTTAATACAACGTATGCTTTTGAAACATCCATGAATGCAACTGTGCCTCAGCTGAAAAGCACTTTTTCATGCTAACCGCAAGAAACAAGACAAGATCTTCTCAAGAGTCACACAATCAAACTGCTGCATACTGATTGGTAAAACTGCACTTTTAAGAGTATCTATCTATATTTTGTGAATCTGGGCTGCACAGTGAAGCATCAAATGAGAACCAAGCAGCTTCTTCGTCCAGTGCTTTTCTTTTTTTGTCCTTTCCCTCTCCGCACCACACTTTTCTCTATTTCTTGCTGAGAGCTGATTAGCACAAACTCACAAACGAGCGGGTAATGAGTGTTTTTTTCATGCTACATCACGGCAGAAAGACGTGATCTGTGAAACAGGACTGCAGAGGCAGTGTGTGTTCAGAAGCTGTACTGTGTTGTTCAGTTCATTATACATTGGAACATCATTTAGCCAGGCCATCCAGGTCAGTGTCAGTGTCACTGATAGGCACTAATAATAAGTTTCACCTACTAATAAGTAACTAATAAGTACCAATAAGTTACAAATGTAAATGTGGTGTTTATCTTCAAATTTAAGTGCACCATTTCTGTTTGGTTTACACCTGCATTTGTAAATGAATATGCTTCATGCAGACACTCTCATTTCCCTACTTCCATTCATTTCTTGATGTTTGTTAGTGATCAGTATGTTAAAAAAGCTCTGAGCAACTCTTTTTGACTGCAAGTGATGAATTTAGTAATAATTCTCTATTACTTTCAGTGACTGACCTGGACCAGACCATCTGTACCAATCAAACTGAAGAGACTTACACCAGCCTGACAATAGAAAGAGATCAGTTACAGAAAGAGAGAGACGAACTCCAGAGGAGGCTTTCTGAACTGGGTTAGTGAATTTTATACGCTCCTAATGTCTTCAAATGTAAATAAAACTGTACTGAGTTGGACCAGTTTTATGTTAGTTTGCTAATGATAACACATTTATCGGTTCTCTTTGTCAGACAATACTGTTGTTATAACAAGCTGTTCTGCATCTGTCTGTGTTGTATTCATGTTAGTATTGGCTTTTCATCAAACCACTGCAGTTTTCATTTGCACAGCTAATTAAGAACAGTGGTTAATGTTACTTGTATCTTTGCTCATCTGCTAAAACGAGCTTTCAGCGGCTCTTATATAGTGAGCTGTCGACTGACTGGCTCCAGAGTCAAGACTGTTAAACAATTACACTAATAACGCTGTCATTTACCACTGAAATACTACATCTAAAATAACATAGACTGTCTTTGTTTATCAAATAAAGTGGTAAATGTGGTGAAATCTGTGATCTCCCAGGACATAAGCTGCTGCCCTATGTGTACAAATATTAACAGTGTACTGTATAAATGCCTAATATGTTGTATTAACACATTTTAAGAACTTCCAGTGTACACTATGTTGTGGTTACTATGAGAAGACACTCACATATAAAATGCTAAAGACCGGATATGAAACCAGGAACCACCCGTCTCCCCCAGCATTAATACAATGTAGTGAAGTAACACATTGAGCTACAGTGACTGTTTGCACAATCTGCACTTCTGGATATAAAAGTTTCTTTTTAATATGATGGAAACCATATTATTTACATTTGTTTTCCAAAGCTAACATATTTCAAGTTATTAAACCAAGAATTAAACAGACGTAGCCCAACCTCAGTGTTGTGGTCCTGACTGGCACAGATATTTGAAGTAATATTACTTTTCATGGGTTTCAGTAAAGCTTCATTTTTCGCTCTGGTTCATAATGCAGTAAGTTACACTTTATCTGCAAAGGTTAGGCTACTATTGAGCGGCGTTGTGGAAGTTCATTCACTGCAAATAAAGACACAGGTCAAACCACAGTAGTTCAAACTAAGGTGGTTCTAACTAACCTGGTTCAGACTGCTGTGGTCCAACCGAACTACGATGGTTTTGGGAAACAGTTGTTGGTTGGATGTTGGTTAGTTTTACAATACTACACTGGTTTAGCAGTGACCTCCATCAGGAAACACACCCTGTTACAGTTACAGAAAAAAGACAGTAATCAGACTAGTTACATCAAAAATATATACATTTAAAAAAATGCTGAATTCATGTCAGAACAGAATACAGTCTGCTCTGAAATGAAATCAAGGCTTAATCGCTTTAAACCGTTCAGTGAAAAGTTAAGTGCGATGCACACAAGACAGTGTTTTAAAACAACATAAACAGTACATGCAGGTTTGCATTTAAAGGAATGAAAGGCTGAATTGGTGTCAGAGTGTCAGGAAGCTGAATCTGAATGTGTTCTTGTAGCTGAACTATTTTCTGGCCCTGATTTCTACAGTTTATAAATGTGTATGTATTGACACAGCATTAGTAGATATGTGCATTAAAATATCAGACCGTCATCATCCTCAATTCCCTTACCAGTGTATCCCATGATGCAATAAAAATACCAGTACAATAATTCCTTTTTAATATGAGTAATAATTAACAAGGATTCAATAATCTGACTGACTGGTGTGAAAGAAGAAAATAACTATAATTTTAAAGTGTAGAATGAATCTCTGTGTTTGTGTTCAATTCATAGAGAAGGCAGGACAGCAGGGTTGGACATTTTTCAAGAACAGTCTTTACTACATCTCTACTGAGAGGAAGAGCTGGAGTGAGAGCAGACAGGACTGCAGAGAGAGAGGAGCAGACCTGCTGATCATAAACAGCATAGAAGAACAGGTGAGGGTGAGAGAGAGAGAGAGAGAGATTGTTTATGTCAGACCATACCAGCACAAATATGTGTGCAGTAAGTTACTTTTCCTCTCTGTTTCTGAGAATGTACATCTGGTTGTTAACAGAACTTCACTGAAATACTGAGACGAGGACAGACAGCTTGGATTGGTCTGACTGACAGTGAGACAGAGGGGGTCTGGAAATGGGTGGACGGCTCAGCGCTGACCACTAAGTAAGAGATCACTGAACTGAACTCTGGACATGGTGCAGTTACTGACTGTCACTCCTCACTTCTCTGATAAACACAGTGGATTCTCTGATTCTCTCTTTCAGGTTCTGGGCAAGTGGAGATCCCAACAGTCATTTAGGAGATGAGGACTGTGTTGTAACTGCAATGAAATGGGCTGATTTTCCCTGTAATCATAGGTTTGTTTGGATTTGTGAGAAAAGCATGTTTAACTAAGAGTGTTTTAGAATGAATTTCAGTGAATATCAGGAATATCAGCAGTTTGTTTGGATCTGTAAGGGAACATTTAGCTAAATGGTCACCAGCCTGTGACTGAATAACAGCATATTTGTATTGAATTCATAACTGTCACTCTTTTAATTACATTTGGATTACAAAATATTAGCGCTTACATTGAATCCAGAGGTTAAAGACCTCAGCATCACTGAATGTGTTTGGTGTTTATTTGATTGTGAGAAGCAGAAAATTCAACCAACTTCTAATACTGAACTTTGGAAGTGTGGAAAATATCCCTGCAGATTTCAAGCAAGCAAGCAAGCCCAGAGGTTCTGCTTCTTGGTCCAAAACCTGCTAGATACAAACTGTCTAATTTTACACTTAAACTTAACAATTTCTCAGTTGCATCAACTTAATCTGTAAAACGCCTTGGTGTCATTATAGATCCTGATCTGTCCTTCGACACACATATAACTAATATTACTAGAACAGCCTTCCTGCATCTCTGCAATATTGCTAAATTGAGAAATGCATTATCTCTACAGGATGCAGAAAAGTTAGTTCATGCATTTATTACTTCAAGGCTAGACTACTGTAATACCCTGCTGGCTGGATGTCCCAGCAAAAGCCTTAACAAGCTTCAGTTAGTCCAGAACACTGCAGCCAGAGTCCTTACTAGAACCAGAAAGTTTGACCATATCAACCCTACACTGGTTACCAGTTAAATTTCACATCGATTCTAAAATTCTCTTACTGACCTAGACCTCTAGACCTGCCGGAGTCTCTGCTGCTCTGTTAACACTGTAATCTGTGATCAGTCACTCTTTACAGAACTAACTCTGTGTTTTCCGTTCTTTGCTGAGTTGAACAGCTGCCCATCCTGTGCGTCTGATGCTGTTGCTTCTTCTGCCTTGATCGGGGGCCACTGCTCACCAGCCTTCTGGACCGGCTTGACCACCGTTGAACTTCATGCTGTACAACCCTGTGCAATCCTCACCCTCATGAACTGACCCTCCTGATGATGCTGCTGCTGCATAAACTGAAACTAATCTAATCAACCATTGCTCCACCTGTTTTCCCCGCTTTTCACTAAAACTTTATACTAACAATGTTTGCTATCCAGTGTTGACCAGAGGAGGATGGGTTCCCCTTCTGAGTCTTGGTTCCTCTTAAGGTTTCCTCCTTTTGCTCTTAGGGAGTTTTTCCTTGCCACTGTCGCCACTGGCGACACTCATGGGGGCTTGGACCCAGATTTTTTTCTGTAATGCTGATTTTTCTGTAAAGCTGCTTTGTGAGAACACCTGTTGTAAAAAGCGCTATATAAATAAACTTTGCTTGCTGCAGATTTCTTTGAAAAACTGAAAGCAAGTCTCCAGTAAAGAATGGAAGCTGTGAAATGTGGCCACATTATATGATGAAAAGGCTGATATTATATGAAGTTGTCAAGGCTTCTGTGTAATTTTCTGTTTAATGTACAATTTCTGACTGTAGTCAGACATGTGATCAGACGTCAGATGTTAGTTCACAAGGTTTGATTGCCCCCTGGAGGATGAATGAAGTCAGTGCAGGATCTGTTTATAATATGTAGTATATTGTCTTTTAAGTATTCGTCTCATACATCTGATTTTTTTTTGTAAATGTTATTGTTTTTATTATGTTTACTTAACAATTTCATTTCAAAACTTGTCGCTGTGTAAGAATTTAATTGTCTGCTACATTTAATAGAGCTGATAGATTATCTAATAGAAATAGCAATAAATTATGATTGTGTGTTTTTGGTGACATTTGTTGTGATGTGTTTATTTTAAAAATGTATTGATGTTTTATGTTATTACTGTAAATATTCTACTGTTCCTGACTGAGGATCAGATATCAGCTCCAGTTTATACAGTTCTAATGTATCAGTCAGTGAGCAATAACAGTACAAAATACACAAGTATGATCGGCTCATAATTTATAAAGAACCTTGATTTCTCATTTTAAACACGCTGAATTTGGGTGTCGCATCATAATTATCCACAAGAGGGCACCAAACACCACCTCAAAGCAGATTCAACAATAATCAGTTGTACACATTTTTTCTGTACAATATGCCCGCAACAGGTTTAACTGACACTCAAATATTACTGTTTCTCCCAGAAGTGATTCCAAAATGAACATGTTTCTGTGAACATGAATGACATTTATTTATTTGCATTTTCTGCTTTGGTACATAACAAAACTTGTCTCAAAACCATCATGAAACAATGTCTCAGACATCAGCCACTGTGCTCTATAACCATTTCATGAAATGACTTTATATAAGGAAGCTTTTAGCTTTTAGACTGTCTTTAACCTCTTAATCATGCAGGAATTTTAAAGAATGTCTCTTTTAATAGCTAAAACGCTAAAGAGCTGCACTCAGACTACATTCAGTAATGACACATTTAAGTGTAAAAAAAACTGCTGAAGATGGAGGACGAAGATTTCACTTCAGCATTTTTAGTTCTATTTTGATTCCTCTCTAAAATAAGAGTATATTTCCATGCCTACACATTTACTGAGGAACTCACACATCACATGTCAGATCCCACAGTCTAATGTAATACCTTTCAAACTTCATACATTACAAGATATTTCAAGCTTAAAAGTCATTTTAAAAACAGAAGTATGTATAACATACACTATATGATGAAAAGTATGTGGATTTATTTCAGGTGTTTCAGCCACATCCATTGCTAACAGGTGGATATAATTAAGCACATAGTCTTGCAGTCTTGATAGACAAACACTGGCAGTAGAACAGGTCATACAGATGAGCTCAGTGACTTTAAACATGGCTCTGTCATTGGATGCCACCTCTGCCACAAGGCAGTTTGTGAAATTTCTGTCCTGCTAGATCTTAACCCAAAACCCCCATTTTGAGGACACTGCTAATATTTCTAGGCATTATTACTTGTATTAAGTGTTTTTAGTGAGTTAACATAGTTTAATTTAAAGTTCTCACCTTACACATGAGGGAATTTTCTCATTTCTCTTTTTTATCTTTAGTATAAAGATATCTAACACGACCTCCCGCCAATAGAGAAGCTACATGCGTCAGAGACACATCCTGTCTGCAGTGTCAGTCAATCTGCTTCATGTTTATGATTCTGTAAGGTTAAAGTGCTGCAGTGTTCCAGTGTATTATAGTCATTAATATGGAAATGGACATTCAGAATGAACCTCTTCAGTACCAGAACACAGAAAAAGTGGACAAAACCTCTCAGTCATGTGGAGAGAGTCAACACAGAGGTAAGTGCTCACATACTGACCCACACGTCCACACACAAAGAGCCATTTCAGAAGAGAATGGACACTTTCATTCACCTCACTAGTCTGTTAAATGTGTATTTGTGCATGTTTGATGTTTAGGAGTGTTCAGGCTGGCTGTACTGTGTCTCGGTGTGATGTGTATCCTTCAGGCAGCTCTCAATATTGCTCTGAGACTGTACTGTAAGTTCAGCGTTCATACTTTAAAACACTTTATGAACTGGAACACACTGATATATTCTTGTTTTTATCCATGTACAGCGGCAGTCAAAAATATTTGCTCAGATACTCATCAGCTCCCAGTTTGTTAGATACTCCTGCTTTGTACCTATGTGGAAGGGTCAGATGACTCCCCCAAACCCTGCCACCGTAATCCCTTTCATTATTTTCATTTTTCAGGTAAAATGCCATTAAGTATAAGTACATTTATTGTTCAGGGTCAGAAAAAAGCAGACAGTACATAAGCCTCAATAACTATATGTAATATTTTCAATATCTAACTTTTTCAGTAGTTATTGTGTCCATTCTTCACCTCTTGTACAACTTCTGTTCTTTTTAAGAGACTTGCTTTCATTTCTAGTTTTTCAGGCTGGGAATCATGGCAGGACTTGGGCACAGCACTCACACACATACTCACAGCTACTGTATCTGCATGAACAGGAGTTTAGTATGTACAGTATGTTAGCCACTTTCTGTTCATGCCATCCTTTGAAAAGAACACTTTGGGAATTAGTCGTTTGGGATTTTGTTGTGGGTCATACTTAAAAAATAAGTTGAAATCTTTGGGCTGAGGGTCTTTAGTGCTAGGATAAAAAAATACTACATGATTTATTGAAAAAAAGCGTCTAAATCAGATCCATACCCTTGTTTAATACAACATATGCTTTTGAAACATCCATGAATGTTATTGTGCCTCAGCTGAAAAGCACACATTTCTCATGGTAATTGCAAGAAACAAGACAAGATCTTCTGAAGAGTCACATCAAACTGCTGCATACTGATTGGCAAAACTGCACTTTTAAGAGTATCTGTCCATATTTTGGGAATCTGGGCTGCACAGTGAAGCATCAAATGAGAACCAAGCAGCTTCTTCTTCCAGTGCCAGTTGTGTCAGAGAGACTGATTACAGTACACAGTGTTAAGAGTGCAGCAGAGACCCGGGCAGGTCTAGTTATTACAGTGTAACTAAAGGGAGAGCCAAAAGGTAACAAAGACATGAGGGCTCCTGGAGATGTCAGCGTCTCTCTGCTCCATCATCAACAAACTTGAGTGAACACATTGGAGCAGCAGGATGACGGCACCAACACTCCCAGTTTACCATAATTCTTTATGTCCATGAACCCCCAGTCCTACACCTTTTTATCTAGCGAGGAAAATTACCAAGGGCTTGACCAACCCTATTTCCAAAAAAGTTGAGACGCTGTGCAGAATGTAAATAAAAATAGGATGCAATGATGTGCAAATCATGTAAACCAAGGACAACATATCAAATGTTGAAACTGAATTTGTTTTTGTTTTTTGAAAAAGATATGCCCATTTTGAATTTGATGCCAACAACATGTTCCAAAAAAGTTGGGACGGGGGCATGTTTACCCCTGTGTTTCATCTCCTCTTCTTTTAACAACACTCTGTGTTTGGAAACTGAGGAGTGCGGTTGCTGTAGTTTTGAAAGAGGAATGTTTTCCCATTCTTGTTTGATATCAGATTTC